TGGGTGCGTCGTTTTTCTATTGTGGATAAAGTATGGGCGCTTTCTTTTTATCATATCTAATATGTTTAAAGTCTAAAGTAAACGGTACTTTAGGGATTTAATAATTATAATATTCTTAAAAAAGTCAATCATATTTCTAACTGTAACTTGGCGTTCTTTCATAACAAATTGCTCAAATACTAGTAATAACACATCTCTTCCCCAGCTGACTTTCAATGGACAACAAATACTGGATGAAATTAAGAAACAGTGATAATTGTATTTTACATTCATGTTATCAAGATATGGTGGAAAGTAATGATGAATGGATTGTAAACATTAAGAAGGAATTTCAAAGGCTTGGTTTAACTGACATGTATAATAGCAATTGTATTGATAATAATTCTTTGAACATCGTATTTCAAAGAATGTATGATGGTTATAAACAAGATATTATGGCAAGAATTTGTAATTCTCCTAAATATTTTTTATGTCAACATTTAGTGGATAATGTTGTACTACAGACGTATTTAAGAAAACCATTACATTCAAAGTATAGAACACCTATTAGTCGTATAATACTATCAGCGCATGATTTAAAGATAGAGAGGGGAAGGTATTGTAACATAGAAAGAAAAGATAGAAAATGTGAAATATGTATATCAGATGAGATAGAGGACGAATTTCACTTTGTATTAAGAGCCCTCTATACACTGCACACTAAAGAGTTCTGATTTTGTGGTATTTTTATGCAGATAGAGTGATCTGCCCTTTGAGCATGAATAAAATAAATTGAAATATACAGTTTCTTACTTAATTTGTGATCAAATCAAGCATTCATAACACTTTAATAGGCCAAGAGGAATAGACAGAACACTTCATTTGCAGGTATTTTGCCCATTTAAGTAAACAACAGTGATTTCTGTTCATCATTACTCCATTGTCTTTGAACATTTTTCCTGGGGGTAAATGCAAGGCACCCTATGTTGAAAAGATGATGTATAAGCTCAGTATTTACACCTTTACCCACTATAATTTTCTCAATGTCCCAAAAATATTTTCCTCTAGTGTATAGAGGGTCCTTAAAATGTCCTCGATATGAAGAACTAAGAAATAAATATATCAAGAGTTATTATTTTAAAAAAAACCATCAGTATTTAAATTAGTACAGTTACTGAGTTCCACAAATACTAAAGAACTATGTAACCTAGGTAAATTTCTGTATTTTTCTTATCAATTAAGAAATGATGTTTTAAATAATATACAATAAGAAATGATAATACATTAAATGCTATTGTTTATGTAATTGCCACATGTAATGTATATTGTATAGCATATACTACACTTATACTATATTGATTACTATTAACTTTTAAAGTTGGCGCCTTAAAAAAAAAATTGACTGGCGACTAAAAATTTGCATTGGCGACTAATTTTTTTTTTTTTTTTTTTTTTTTTTTTTTTTGATGAGGCTGGCGCCTAAATTTTAGAGGTCACTTAGAGGCCTGTATTAGTATACAAAATGTTGTTAAGAACATTTGATTATTAGAGATTTTATAGTAGTTGTAACATTACTTCTGGATTAACCCACGTATATATACGAGGGGTGATCAAAAAGTTCGCCAACTATCTCTATATTTACAAAACCACTTTTCAGATCAGAATGAAATTTGGGACACAAATAGTCATAAACATGTTCTATAAATAGTAGATGTTACATAATGTTTTGTATTGTGGCGTCACACTGTGAATATGATATCAATATGTAGGTGACTTGTAACAAAAATGGCTGACTCAGTCGTATACTCGAGCAACGAAAGGCTGTAAAGTTTAACGTATATCTTGGAATATATTTCAAATTATCTCATATGCAGACCAAATATAGAGAAATTTAAACAACTTTTTTCAACAACAAACTGTTCAATATTGAAAAAAATTAAATGCAAATTTTTGTTGATTGTCAAACAAATCATAGAGGGAAATAATTGATTTGAATCTTAAGATGATATTTTGTACTGTTTATTATACATGTATTATATGTTACCTATCTATGTGTTGTATCTTTTCCTACCTCTCTACAATGTATGTTTGTACATTTATGAGAATAAAATCATTGTCATTGTCATTGGAAATTCCTTTGCAGTAGCATATAATAATTTGTACAAGGTTTATGAAGACAAAGACTTGCCAGAAGTTCAATCATTAATTGCATTGATTGTTTTAATTGAAGGAAGGGAGATGGTTAAAAATGATGTCTGTTCTGTTATCTTACCTGGACAAATTCCCGTTTTGCACACATTTTTTCAATACCTGAAATTCAAATGTGTGCAAAACGGGAACAAACCGGACCAATGATGTGACGAAGGAAACACGACATGCATATCCATTGCTAAAAATCATTCCCTCTTCTTTTGAATTTCTTTTCGCTTTTTCAGAAAAATTGTTAAAAATGTTAAAATTTCCGGAATTCGACGATCGCCAAGTCAATTTTTAAAAATGGTCGCCAATTTGGCTACTTATGGAAAAATTTCAGCCGCCAATTTTAGGCGCCATGGCGACTAAATTAATCGCCCTGTAATACCTCTATTTATTTTGGCTTTTGCCTGAAAATTTCATTTAGATATATCTGTTATTTTTTTTACAATATTAAAATAAACGCAACATTGGGTCTCGTCTATCACCGCATGGCAAGGATGTTATAAATCAACGTCGTTATGGCCTTTCTCTTCGGCACTCATTCTCAGTTCAACTGCAACTACGCAAAAAGAATGAATTTAAAAATAACATGTAGATTTATAGCAAATTTGCAGTTAAATTGTAAAAAAAAAAAAAAAAAAAAAAAAAGTGAAATGATTAATAAGATGAACTGAAAATAAGTGCCGAAAGGTAACGTCACACGTCATAACAGTGTCCGTAACATTTTTGCTGTGCGACGATAGACGATAGATCGAGATCTAACGTGTTTATTTCAGTATCTTAAAAAGTACAGCATATATCTGAATGAAATTTTAACGCAAAAAAAAAAATAGATATGGAAATTACTATGCAAAAATTTGTTGATACCGTTCAATTATTAAAGATTTCACCCCGGTTGTGACGTTACCTTTTGATCAACCCTCGTACATGTACATGTATTGTATAAATTCTTGTGTAATTCTCTTTAATTAAACTATTTACAGTGATAAATTTTCATACGTAGATGGATAGCAAAAGGGAATAACTTCTCCCAGTAAGAGCCCTGCTCAACACCAGAACACTTGATCAAGTAGTCCAGATTTTCAAAACTCTGGTAAAAATATCCTTGCTTATAACAACTTGCCTCCCAGATGCCCAGGAGCAGAGAAGAAGATTTCCAACGAAATAAGCATTTTCACTATAGATTCAACACAGCCCTGCCCTAACACCAAAAAGCCCTGGCCCAGGGGCCATGAAATTCTCAAGCTTGGAAGGGGCAACCTTGCTCATCATAATTATGCACTTAAATTATCGACCTGCTAAATATCAAGGAGCAGAGGAAAAGATTTTCAAAGAAATAATGAATGCATTTTCACTAGATAATCAATAGCCCCCCCCCCCCACCCACCACCACCACCAAAGTTTGGAAGAGGCACCTTTGCTCATCATAAACATGCATGCACTTAGTTTGTTTGCTTAATACCCGTGAGCAGTGAAGATTTTCGAAGAAATAATGTATTTTCATTATATTGTTATTAGAGCCCCACCCTAATTCCAGAACCCCTGCCCCGGGGGCCATGGATTTCACATTTAGTAGACGGCCCAATGCTTATTACAATCATGCAAATAGTTTGTCTTTTTGATGTCCAGGAGTAAAAACGAAGATTTTTAAAGCTTGCAATAATTGTTAGGTTTTAGCCCAACCTCTCAGGGCCCAAAGGGGGGGGGGGCGCAAGGACCATGGAATTCAAACTTTTTGTTCCCCTTTACCCATAGATGCTATTTGCCAAAAACTGTTGAAACTGGTTCTATAGTTCCAGAGGAGAAGCTGAAAATGTTCAAAAGTTTACGACCGACATACACCCGCACGACGGACAATGACGGACAAAAACAGATAGCAGTAGGTCAACTGAGTGACTCGAGTGAACTACATACTCCGTTTTTAAACTGGCACTTCTTGCATGCTTAATGAAATATAGGAGTAAAATAAGTAACCTGTGGCTTACTCTCGCTTTCTAACATCAAATCAAGGGTTGCAGTTTCGAACATTTATAAAAATTTCTTTTTCTTTTACTTTTTTTTTAAAATTAATTTATTTGTTTATTTTTTATTGAATACATTGTATTTTAGTTTATATTTATTATCATTTTATCGAGCACATTTGGTTTTAAAAATTATTATCCTCACCCCCTGGGAAAAAAAAAACAAAATAATAATAATAATAATAATAAGTTGTAATTTGAAGGTTTCTCATTGTTCTTTGAAAAATAAAGTTCCTAGTTTTGATTTTAAACTTGTACTGAAATATTAAGGACCCTTTCCTCAGAAATGCTGACATTAATTGCCTCGCACCACACTCATGGGTAATATAAAAGATTAGCGTTAATTAATTGCGCTTTGATTGGGTCCAGTCTAAATCTACACCGGAAAAATCCCTTACAGATTTTCCTCCCATGTAAATCCTATTTTCGGCACGGATAGGGTATTTCCTGGGTGGGGGTTGAACAGCAACATGTAAGAAAAATCCTTAGTGGATAATGTATGAAAAGAGAATAAATGATGATGATAATAATAATCCACCGGTTGACACTCTGTTATTCAATTATATATGTAATCAGGAAAAAAAAAAAGAAGATTTTTTTTAACATAAGATCCAACATTTTCTTCTTAACAAATTTATGTACAAACCCTTGAAATATTCGAATCTTTTAATAATTTGTATTCAAGGGGGAAAACGTGCATTTTTGTTCATTTTCATCACCACTGTGCTCACTGATGTAGAGATGCGCTGGTCTTTTCCCAAATTACAACCTTTTTTTTATCCCGGGTTCGGAAGACAACATTCACAATGAAGTACTTCCGGTTCAAATTAAAGGTCACTCAAGCGTTTGTAATCTATCCATTCTGTCATCTGTAGTAGATAATTTTCATCAAATTCACGATAATGTGATGGATTCATGTGCCAAAGGAGGGATCTAGGTAAGGTTGTTATTACAGTGCACTCAAATGTCCCAGCTTCCAAGTGCAGGTGGAGAAGAATGCTAAATATGTTGTAGGTTTACCTGGTTTTGCAGAGCGTTTCAGATTAAAAAATGCATATGATATTGATTCTCCACAATCTAAAACACCAGGTCCTGTCTTCAAGAAAGAAACGTGTTTTATGAATTAGATAAGTTGACAACGAATTCATATAGCCTATGTACTCTTCTGTTGGACAGGAGGTATACAGACAAAAAATGAAGACCCCCTCCCTTCCACAACCTTTCCATTTGCCCACTCTTTAAACTAACCAAACTGATCTGTTGAGAATGAGTTTATTAAGTATTCTCAATTGTACATTTTAAGTTTTTGTTAACAATAGATTTAGCATGTCTGTCCTGGATTTGAAATCTTGGATAAATGTGCTCATCCCGCATGGTAAAACATACTGAATTTTATGTCGAAAAAATATTTTTTGATTTTGTTTTTCTTCAGGGGTTTGCGATTACACCCAGCACACCTACTCTTATGACAGCCTTATTTTGAGGATGTGATTCAGTGTGTATGTGGCATTCGTAAGAATTACTTTAGACATTATGGGTTAACCTTAATTAATTGTTGAAGATATGAGTAGTGATATATTTTTATACGAAGGAGAAAAGCTTCGGTAGACTCAGGTGTATTGTCCTAAGCTGGTGTTTACCTGCAGTAGATTGGTGTCTGAAACCTTTTCATATGTCCTTATAGCTAGTGTTAAAAACTAATAGCTTTAAAATCCGTTTTAGGAGTGTGGTTTGAGGAAGCTGACTCATTCAGATCTGTGTTTTCTGATTTTAGCTCTCTGTTCCTGGTACAAACTGTTGTCTAAGTGCAAGGAGAATTATTGGAGTCATGTTGCATATCCATTTATAATTATCCTGTTGCTGTTTTTGCCAGGGATGTATATAAGGACTATTTGTTCCCTGCTTTCACTGGAAGTGGGGGATATTTAATTGAGTCTGCTGTCTGTCATTCTGTCTGTGTGTAACACTTTCATTGTGAACATTTATATCCTCTCCTTTTAAAATTGCTTAGAGATCCCTTTTTTTTTTTCTCAGTATATTCTATATAAGTCGACTTTCTTTAATTAATTAATATCCTAATTTCCTTTGGCTTAAGAAAGACTTTTATTGATTTTTAGTGTTTCCGGATGATAACATATAAGTTTTCTTTGAGATTTTTCAGCGAAATTTTAAAAAAATTTTCTCAGTGACTTAAGATTAAGGTAAGAAATTCATGTGATGCAAAAAAATGGATTCCAGGTGATAAATTTAGTTTTCTTTGAGCCTTTGCGATGAAATTTTATAACTCCTTGTAACTGAAAGAAGACCCCTATCGATTTTGAGATCAAAAGGTCAAAGGTTAAGGACAGATATTCAAACATTGCAAAAAAAAAAAAAAAAAAAGGACTGCAGATGATAACTTTTGTTCTCTTCAAGTTTTTTTCAATGAAATTTCATAACTCCTAATGACTTTAAGATGAACCCTATCGATTTTTAGGTGAAAAGGTCAGGGTCAGAAATTCATATTTTGCATATTAATATGATTTCAAGATAATAACTTTAGTTCTCTTTGAGGTATTGCAGTGGAATTTAATATACCATTAGTTAATATGGCTAAAAGAAGACCCCTATTGATTTTGAGATCTATTTTTAGGTCAAGAGCCCAGGTCAGAAATTCATATTGTGCATTCATAACAGTAGTTTTCTGTGAGCTTTTGCAATGAAACTTAATAAGATCATAAATTTCTTTAATCTATGAAAGACCCTATTGACTTTAAGCCAAATGTTGAAACTGGTCAAGGTCAATCTTTTTCTTTCTCCATCTGCATTTTTTTTTTTAGGTCTTTCATCCTTTTCTTTTCTCTGTAAAGGAGGGACATATAAATTCCTAAAATTAGCATGTTTAGAATTAATGTATGTGTCACTTGGATTGGGTTGGGTGGAGGGAACATTAAATTTTTTATCAGCGCATGGCGAGGATGGAAAGGTGAGAGGTATGAAACTATTTTTAGCTTACATAAAGTGAGCTTTTATGATAGAAATTTGTCCTTTGTAGTAAACTGTTCACAATTTCATTGCTTCTCTAGAACCACTGAACCAATTTTAACCAAACTTGGTACAGACTGTCCTTGGGTGAAGGGGATTCAAGTTTGTTCAAATGAAGGGCCACACCCTCCTTCAAATGGAGATGATAAAGAATTCATGAAAATTTAGGGCATCATTTAAAATTGATTCTTCTTGAGAAAAATAGAACCATGACTAATGATATGAATTTGCAAGCATTCAAAAGTAGTGCAGATTCAAATTTTTCTAAATCACGACCTTTCGGAATTAAGGGTGGGACCACAATAGAGTATCAGATTTTACACATAGGAATATATATATATATAATATATATATACAGTTAAACTTCGTTATCTCGAAGTTGACGGGACCGTTGATGAACTTCGAGATATCCGGGGGTTCGATATATCGAGGGTTATAATTCAAATGAACTTCAAATAAACTTAGTGCAGTGAACATGTACTTAATAGTAAAAACATGTCGAAATACTTCTTGTTTGAAATTCTGTACAAGATTTCTTTAATATACATGTACATGTATTTAGCAATCAAGAAATTTTACATCCTCTTTATAATTCACAAATTAAAAGCTTTGTATAATATGCACAGAAGTATAATCCAACGCGGAAAGTCAACTGCTAGCATCGTTTCCCATGTATACATAACCGGATATCGTCTATGCATTGTAAATTTAAAGCCAGTCGCTGTCAGAATAACGAAAACGAAATATACATTTCTTTTATTGGAAAAACATGTTCATACATGTAAAATCAGTTAAAAGAAAATTATTTTACCATAATAAAATCAAACACAAAAGAAAAATCATGGACTTTTGTCTAACAACAGAACAACACTAAATGACAGGGCACTACAGCACAAGGTTTTACTGCGACACATGCTCACATGATGGTGTGTACGGACGATTGTAATTTCTGCATGCTCATATAGGGAAAATAAATTCTAATTGCATTAAATTACAGAATTTTGTTTTACTTCGATGTTTATAATTTTCACTTCCATATGCATAAACTATGTATGCGCGCATATTTCACATAGCATTAAATTGCGATTAATTATCAAGATAAACGTACCCAAGCCACAAAACAATGAACGTGTCATCCACGCGTATGCATTAGACTAATACACACAACCTTTGGCTTGCATAATTACAATCAAGGTAAGCCATACATACACTTCGTATAATTATCGCGCTATTATCTGTTGATCCCAGGAACACAGGTAACCCGAGCGTGACAGACAGGTGGGTGTTATCAATAGAGCATTCAGTTTACCTAACGGACTTGATCATCAGAGGGGAAAATTATCCTGACTTCGAGATAACGCATGTGATTTTAATAAATGGGTACACAATTTTTCTTCGAGATAACCGGGGTATTCGACATTACCGTGTTCGACATAGAGGGGTTTATTTTAATCATTTATAAAGCAAATTTCGTCGGGACCACGGCCTTACTTCGACATATCCAGGGTATTCGAGATATCCGTGTTCGAGATTTCGAAGTTTAGCTGTATATATATATATATATATAGAGAGAGAGAGAGAGAGAGAGAGAATCTAACATGTTCCTTTCATGAACAGTAGGGCCATGATTGGTCATATTATTATGCAAATATTGTCAGGTCATGTAGATTCAAGTTTTTGACCCCCAAAGATAGGATAGGGCCACAATTGAGAATGAAAGAAAAAATCTTTAAAAAATCTTCATGTGAAGAGCAACAAAATCATGATTAATCATATTAATACCGTAAATCTGGAAATTTTTACTGTAGATAAATCTTTAGCAAATTTGCGCGTGCACTGTATTCGCAAAAATATAAATCAACAACAAAAAATATAAATAAATATTTTGCTTACAGCTGATGTTTTTTTTACCCGGTGAACAAGTGTTCGTAAGCAGTGGTCATTTTAAGGAATCTGTTTATAATACAAACTAATTATCCGTGATAATTCGTGCCTTAACTACATTTAATATCGTCCGATGGTTTGACAGGCAGTATGTTTCTTTTAATTATTTCTGCAAGAAAGAAAGGCCAGTTGTTCTATCTTACAACAAATCCCTAGCCTGACAGAATCTTACCGGAGAACTTATTATAATAAAATCCAACGAAATTAAAGAAAGGTGCATGTACATACGATATTTATTGCACATGTGTAACATTTAAACTGTTATAAAAATTTTAAGCACTTTTTAGCTCACCTGAGCCGAAGGCTCAAGTGAGCTTTTCTGATCACATTTTGTCTGTAGTCCGTCTGTCCGTCTGTCCGTCTGTCCGTCTGTCTGTCCGTCTGTCCGTCTGTCCGTCTGTAAACTTTTCACATTTTCGACTTCTTCTCAAGAACCACTGGGCCAATTTCAATCAAACTTGCCACAAAGTATCCTTGGGTAAAGGGGATTCAAGTTTGTTCAAATGAAGGGCCACGCCCTCTTCCAAGGGGAGATAATTAAGAATTCGTGAAAAATTAATGGCATCATTAAAAAATCTTCTTCTCAAGAACCACTGTGCTTGAAAACATGAAACTTATGTGGAAGCATCCTCAGGTAGTGTAGATTCAAGTTTGTTCAAATCATGACCCCCGGGGGTAGGGTGGGGCCACAATGGGCGATCAAAGTTTTACATAGGAAATATACAGGAAAAATCTTTAAAAATCTTCTACTCAAGAACAGCAAAGCCATACTTGGTCATATTTATATGGTAGCATCCTCAGATAGTGTACATTCAAGTTTGTTCAAATCTTGACCCCCGGGGGTCGGGTGGGGCCACAATGGGTGATCAAAGTTTTACATAGGAATATATAGGAAAAATCTTCAAAAATCTTCTTCTCAAGAACAGCAAAGCCATGATTGGTCATATTTACTTGGAAGCATCCTCAGGT